CTTGGCCCAACCAGGTCTCCGTAATACCTGCCAATAAACATGTGGTGGCGTTCAGCCGTCCCAAGATCCTGTCCACGTCCTCGGGAGCCACAGGATCGAACTCCTCCCAGATAACATTCTCAAGGCCTGCCTCAGTCATCTCGTCTGAACTAACCCAGTCAGTGGCCAAGTTTTCCCGAATCTGAGTTATTTTATCATCCAGATACTGTACAAAATCCTCAGCTCAGCCCTGCAAGGGGTCCTCCCGCGCTCCCAGATGGAGAAGGGAGCGGGTCACCCTGAACAGGGCGGCTGGGCGGTTATCTGATGACGTGATAAGAGCGGCAAAATAGCTAGATTTTGCCGCTTTTATCGCCACTAGGTAGGTCTTAATATGAGACCTTACCAGTGTCAAGTCGGATTCGGAATGACTGGCCCTCCAACTGCTCTCTAGGCGTCTTTTCCGGCGCTTCATCTCTCTCAGCTCCTCGGAGAACCAAGGAGCTAAGTAAGTTCGGTGCCGGGTCAGAGGCCGCAAAGGCACGACCTGGTCCAAAGCCCCGGCAGCCGCACTATCCCAGGCGGCCACCAGGTCATCAGCCGAGTCGTGAGCTAGAGTTTCAGGAAATGGCCCAAGCTCCATCTGGAACCTATCAGGATCCATCAGGCGCCTGGGGCGGAACCACCTGGTCGGCTCCGCCTCCCTGCGATGGGGTGCGGTGGTCAGAAAGTCAAGTCGAAGGAGCGAGTGGTCAGACCATGACAAGGATTCAGTATCTATATCCCCTATATCAAGGCCACTCAACCACTGACCAGAGACAAAAACTAAGTCCAGAGTGTGTCCCCCCATGTGAGTAGGGCCGTGAATTACTTGGGTCAGGTCCATGGCCGTCATGGAAGCCATGAACTCCCGAGCTACCTCAGAAGTTTCACCAATGGATGGCAAGTTGAAATCCCCCATGACCAGAAGTCTGGGGGTATCAGCCGCCACCTTGGCTATAACATTGAGGAGTTTGGGCAGGGTCGTCGCCACGTGGCAGGGAGCCAGGTACATGATCAACAGACCCATCTGCACCCCACGACCCCACTTCACGAAAAGGGACTCACATCCGGCTATCTGAGGCACAGTGGTCTCCCTCGGATCAAGACCCTCTCTTATAATGACCGCCACCCCCCCGCCCCTGCCCTGAGCTCTCGGCTGATGAAATGCACGGAAGCCTGATGGGCACATCTCCACGAGGGGAACCCCCCCCTCATGGCCCAACCAGGTCTCCGTAATACCTGCCAGGTCCGCTCCCCCCTCCTGAATAAGATCACAAATGAGGGGGGCTTTATTTACTACGGACCTGGCATTACACAACATCAGCCGGAAACTCAGGCCCTGAGACTCTAAGCAGCCTGAGGAATGGGAAGAGCTAAGGGGACCGGGGCACGCAATCGCTCGGAGATAGCGAGCGCGTGCCCCCACCACATGATGCGGCCCCCTGCTCCCGCCATACCTGCCCCTCCCACTCAGCGTATTGATGGAAAAGCCCTCAATAGAGGGCATTCTAACAGTCCCCTTTCCCCCAGAGTCCGTACCCCCTATGGCACCATTAACAGCCAGACTGGTCTCCCTCCCCACCCCCCTCCCCACCCCCCTCCCCAAACCCCTTAAAAATTTACACAAAGACAATTTTAAAAAACCCCTCAGCCCCCTCTTTGCGGCATGCCACCTCTCGGGATTCCAAAATCCGTCATCGAGGTAGGCCCTCGATAACGTGGGGAGCCAAGCCTGCGAGAGGGGGGAATCTCGCAGACCAAGAAGCTCCGCTGCTGTGTACATCTTGCCACAGGGATGGGGTGACCATCCCCTAAAGGGTCCATACAGAAAAGTCCGAGGGAGAACATAAAAAGACAGGAGCCACAAAAGGATTCAAGACCCAGTCCACTGTTCTCTCACAACAGAGGCCAAGTCCGTCTCCAGGTCGACACAGTCCAAGGGGGGAGGAAGAATAAATCATACCGCCCTCTCACAGCGGCTTGGCTCGATGGTCTACCCCCTTTACTGGTGAGATGGAAGTAATGGTTCAACTTGCGCACTTGGCACCCATAATATAGGTCCAAAATCCGCCCTCTCACGGCGGATTCGATGATCCGTCCCTCTGCCAGCAAAGTGTAAGTGTAAAGTGCAGGTGCCGAATGATGGCACAACAGAGACAGTACAGCACCCAGGATATAAGTCCCCAATCCGCCCTCTCACAGCGGTTTGTCCGATGGTCATTCCCCTGCCAGCAGGTACAAAGTGCAAAGTGCAAAATAGCTAATGCCATCCCAGCTCAGCCCGTGGGGCTCAGAGCCCAAGTCACTCTCTCACAGTGGTTAGGCTCTTGGCTGGTCCTCTCAGCTGGTGGGATGGAGTCATATACCAGCTCCTGTTCAGATGATATTAGTCCTCCAAACAAATAGGGGAAGGGCTCAGGTGGAATAAGCGAGCTATTTATGTCAGTGAGGTGAAGCCAAAAGAGGGCGCAAGTCCAAGAAGGGCATGTTCCAAGGGGGGAGAGATGGAAAGAGGGGGGGGTTACACTTTAACCCCCCCAGTCCCCGAGGGCACTCTAAAACACCCCAGCGGAGACCCCCCCTCGATAACACACCCAATCCTCATCTATCCTGGCTCGAAAAGATGGTCCTCGGCCACATTAGCGCCCCTCATCAAGGCCATGGGGCGCTCCTCTCCCCGCCAGAGCCAGCTGGAAGTCTTCACGGTTGTTGCCCTCGTCGCCATCCCCCACTGCCGTAATGAAATCCCGGCAGCGTCCCTGAGATTTTTTAGGGAACTGGCAGCCCCAACAGCCCCGACAGCACCTCAACAAAGCCAGAGCCTGGGGCAGTGTCCATGTGGTAGGCTCCCCCAGCGCAATGCCACCGCCGCCGCTTCCACTCCCAGCGAGCTCCAGCTGGGGGGGAAAAACGCCACCCCGCCACCTCTCAGCTGTTCCGAGGCTTCCGAGCCTCGCCGACGCTGTGCTCTCTGCTCTCTGCTCTCTGCTCCCACCACGATGTTCAAGAGGGAGCAGAAAGCCATCCCCGGAATGGGAGGAAGTTCCCCCAACTGGACCCGGGTCGCCAGGTCTTCAGGGCGATCCTCAGAGGGTCCCAAAAGGTAGGTCAGTGCCCATCCTCACGCCGCGATCTCAGCTAGCGTTGCCATCTTGCGCATGCTTTTATAATTGGATTCCCAGACATATCTTGACAAACTGAGTATATTAATATTATTATATTTATTAATCTTAATATTTGATATAAATCATGCATATTTCAATTAAGCATTGTTGATAAATATTTTAGGGATCAGTCATGCATTTAAGGCCTTCTATGATACCTTTGGTGTTATATTAGGATCCTAACAGTTGGAGTTCAAGCACAGATATGAGACAGAGACAGCTTTAGTTGTTTTGCTTGATGACCTGTCCTGGTTCTCAATCTTTCAGCAGCTTTCATTATCATCAACCATGGTATCTTTTTGTACCAGTAAAGGCACTGTTCTGCAGTGGTTCCACTCTTTCCTCAGTGATCAATTCAGTAGGTGATAGTCAAAGAACATAAATTCTCCCAAGGAGTATTCCAGGAATCAGCACTTCCCTCCCCCTTCATGTACATGAAGCCACTGAGAGAAGTAATCCAGCACTTTAGAGTCTGATATAAATATGCTGATGATACATCCAATCATATATTGCAACTCCAAACTGGGCCAGAGATGCCATCAAAGTCTTGTTTCTATGTTTGGAGGCTATGTGAGCCTGGCTGGGAGAGAATAAGTTTAAACCAAACCTAGTAAGTTGATGGTAGTGTTTGTAAAACATTGATACTCTAAGCCTACTGCTTGTATACAGAGAGTATAGCCCTTGGAAGAGCAGGAGGGCTTCATATCCTCTTGAACTTGTGACTCTTGCTAAATTAGCATATAATGCCATGGCTGGAGGGTGGTGAGAAAACCTCATTGCAATGGTTCACCCCCTCATCACCACCCATTTAGACTACTGCAACATACTCTACATTTAATGATGATCTAGAAACTTTACTTTGTATAAAATGAGATTGCCCACATGCTTATGGTAGCCGACCATTTAGCACATACCCTATTGCATTTGTTTTCAGATGCTGCACTGACTTCCTATTATTTTCCAAGTGCAATTAAAAGTGCTGATACTAACCTATAAATTACTTAATGGCTTGATACTTAATTATCTGGTAGATCACATTCCTTCATTAGAGGTGGCCTATCCACTCTGCCTATGCCAGACGAAGCAGCTGGTTGCCTCACATTTTTGGAAAATTGGGAGGCCAAAGCCCAGAAACACTGTTTATAATGTTAGGGCCAGCTTTTTAGAGAGCTTTTGTGACCTGATGTACAGTATATATTTTATTTCAGTTTTATTTGTTTCACTTTTTATACATCTTGTTAGCAGCTAAGAGTTTTGTGATCACAGTGGCACACAATTAAATAAACAAATAAAGAGAAATGCAAATGTAATTTATTGGTTTGTACAATAAATTATTGTATTTATTTATTTATTTTTTGTTATGTTGGCAGTAATATTTTAATGAAATTATATGAGCTATACATAATTCCTAAGATTATATGACAATTGTAGATATATGAATGGCTATTTCTGTGTTTTGTGTGTATGCTAATTACAAAGATCAGTTAGAGAATAATACATGTTAAAAAGAGATTAATGATGGATTATTTCAAATGACTCACAACCGAACATTTCATTTTAAGGAAGCAATGGTAAATGGCACACTAACTTTTCATGTTGTAATACAGTTATGCCTGCTTTGGAGTTTCAGATTTCCTTGAAAAATACATTAAAACTGACAAACAGCTAATACTTTGGAGTAGCAAGTTCCAAAACACTAATCAGAAGGTGATTATGATGTAAATTACTGCAAAGCAGTGTACATTAGAGCAAATGTGATAGGCATCTGATTTGATGGTAATAGTAACTAGTGAATTCCAATTGATTCCCCTATAGGTATTGAACAACAAGTGCCTCAAAAGCCTCCTAGAGGCAACAAACGAGATCCACCCCAGTTAGTGATTCCCCCACCCCCATCATACCCTCCTCCTGACAAAGATACTATGGACCCAGCTGCATTGTACAATGAAGCAGATGTTACAGACCCAACCCAGTTGGTATCTAAAAGTATGTTTGAAAAATTGTCTATTTCTCTTTCTTTTCCAGACTTTCCTCTGTTCTGTTTCCAGTCATGTGTTTTACTTATCAATCTGTTTCCTTTTAAAATTTGTAAATGTATGATATGATCTTAACTAATATATTGAGTCAATCATGCCAAATCTTTTTTTGAAGTAGTCATTTAAAATAATGATTTCAGATATGACATTTTTGGCATTTGGATGGCATGACCTGAGTTCAATGTTTCATTTTATTTAACTATTTACTTTTCTTACTTTTATGGAATTTTATAGTCCATTTCTTCATTTCTCATGAAGATAATAGCTGGGTGTTACGTTGCTAAATGGCCCTGATGCAGCTTAAGAACTTGAATTACAGAACTACTAAAATTTTTCCCAAATCCTGATTTTTCATAGAGTATAACAATATTTATATTGTTAATGTTAAATAATGTTAAATCAATGCAAGGAGCATATAAGAGAAAAGAGAGGTTCTCCCAAGTAACAACTAATCTAAAAAAAAAAAAAAATGTAAGAAATGTATATTTGAATTATTTGTAATTGAAATGTTAAAACATAATTACATTTACAGTTTGGAATATAACGAATGGGAAAAGGAAAGAGAAAGAGATAGTTTAAAAACAGGCTATTACTGGGTTTCTTGGGACTTCTGGATAATTTTATAATATGTGATCAGTGACCCACAATGACCATTTGTTTCCAGAGACACAGTCTGCTAACTACCATTTCTCAATATCAGCAACTTTTAAGATGCGTAAATTTCAAATCCCAGAATACGCACCCATGAATATTCCCCATGCTGGCTGGGGAATTCTGGATATTAAAATGCATTCATCTTAAAGTTCCTGTGATTGAAAAGGGTTGACATGGGCTAATGAAGAGAATAAATGAAGGCAACTAGTGAGCTTTCTGCAGCAGCGACCTCTTCCTAAAATCACTGGTGACAGTTTGGAAAACATGAGAAGACTCTGTTTGCTATAGAAGACAATCCATTGTCTCAGCTGCCAATTATAGATTCCGGAAAAAAGCTATTTCCAGGTACTTAAATGACAGTTAGCTTTTTAATCAATAGTAAATAATTCATTTTGAGCTACCTGGAAAATCTTAACAACAGCAGAGAGTAGGCAAGAAGCCCCAGTTTATCCTGGTTAATCCTAATATATACCTCAAACGGAAATTAAGAAAAAGAGAACCCCAATTCCAGCCAATTCCAACCAGAAGATAGAGTTCAGGCCCTTATAGCCCCTGTTTGTCCCATTCATTCTATCCCTTGATTCATTCAATATTGACAACACAGCTTTCTATTTCTCATATAATTAAAATGAAATGATATATGATTTCTACATGCTGGTCTACTGCTGAAGTTTGTACAATGTGATTTATCAAGTACTGAGCATAAGCATCAGACTTTGCAAGGGCTTCTCTGGCATATTCAATTAAGTGAATAATCTGTGTATCATTTGAAATGGTTTAGTTACCTTACTTCTGATTTTGCTCTCATCTTATCCCTGCCAATTAGTAAGATAGGCTTAAGGTGTTTGCAGTCTTAAAGTAGCATCCAACTGGAACTACAATTCATGTTAAATCTGATATGATTTGCAACCAAAGTCATAAATGAAGTCACACGACCAGTGGAAGATGGGATTGGAGAAGGGCTTATTGGTCACCTTTGGTTCTTGGTTAATCTTATCTGCCACCAGTTTGCTGTTGCCTCCCTGAATGCAGCAGCACCTGAAACATACAGAGACTGCCAGCAAGTTAGAGCTATGTTATTAGCCAGTGCGTAACGGCTTTATCCTGCCTTCCTCAGGTTTATGCTTACGTTTTTCATTCCTTCAAAAAATTAAAAAGAAATAAATATGTTTTGTTCAAGTGCAATTCTGCCTTATTAACATTTGGACCTTTAAATATTTTGCACACAAATCCCACATTACCCATCCATGGTAGATTTTTCTGTTTTAGTTTACTAATATTTACTAATATTCTTCTAGCCTAATATCTGATTTTGATCAAACTTTCACTTTGTGAATATTTGTTATGAATCATACATTTATTGCATGTATAGTTGCCAAGGTTTTAATTAATTAACAGCCCCATCAAGGCCTACTAATTGTGAAGTATATCATATTAAGTTTAGTAGAATTTATTTTAAGATAAATGTATTTAGGATATAGCATAACACTATTTGTGTCTGCTCAGGAATAAATAAATACAGGGTTGTAGATATTGAGTAATCACTATAAATTAGGACCATTTGAAATATCTCAAAACATGAGTGTATTTGGCCACAAAAACCCTATTTGTAGAAATATACCTGAGGTTGCATGTGCTTGAGTTATGTTCTTGCTGGCAGCAATAACTTCAGAGAATGAATCACACTTTCAATTATGCTGCTGTTGTTATTTGATTTTTGCTCTTCTCGAGAGTTCCCAGGGTAGTTTAGAGTATATATGTGTGTATGTGTATACACAAAGTAAGGTATGTAGGTCTTTGGTTATTCGGGTAAGGTATATAACAAGTGCATACTCTAATTACATATATTGATTTTGTCCAAGAATGTTACATTTAGAATTGCTAGTCTTTTGTGAACAAAGATCCTAAAAAGATCTTTCACCCCTTTGTGAATATGTGTTATATTGAAATGTAACATATTACAGCTGTGAGTTTTAAAAAGTTTATTTGGACAAAGTATAAGTTATTCTTCAAGGATGCTTCCCTACTTTTACTATTAGCTTCATTAGAAGCTCTTGAACATCTAAAAATAAAATTGATTATAGTAGTATGTGTTCCTAGATTAGTAAATTAGGAGTGTGTCTTAAAGTATTTTCAATTTTTAATGCATTATTTGCTTTTTTCCTCAACAGTTTATTGTTGTGCATCATTTCCTTCACCTTCCAAGCCCATCTGATACAGTTTGGCTCTTGCTATGGTCTCCATCTTTCTGAAAACTGTTGCCCCTGCTGCCTTACCTATCTTTATGTTGCCTTTTCCCTTCATATGGAAAAACGTTCTTCTTACATGAATGACATTTTCAAATATCTTTTTTCATATATGTTATTATTTTGCAGTGACAAATGTTTTCAGCTGCATATATGTTTATGAAACAAATTCTTCCAGGATTTAGTGTATGCATGCTTTTTTTTTAACTACTTAGATGTTTCTCAGTTTTGTTGCTGAAGTTGAAAAACTACATTTATGCCATTTTTTTCTTATCCTTCCTTTTCAAGTATACATTTACTATTATACACTGTACTATATCCATATAGTTTTCATTTCTATTGTTCTATGCAATTGGGCATGCCTTAATGAAGCAAGGTAATGAATGATACAAGGGGCCTTGTGTTAGTTTTCCAATGAACTCTTTCAGGATTAATTCTAAGTAGACAATAGACAACCCATGGGTCACCATTTAAGAAATATTCTCACCAGATTCCTCAGTGCCATCAACAGTGGTAGAGCTTTTAATGTACCTGAAAAGTTCTTAAAAATTCAGTGAGATACTCTGACATGTATCTGTCTCGAAAGTTGTCCATATTGAACTGTATGTCACAGACAAATATCAGGGGTTGACCACAGGAAATGTTTGATGATATATTTTTTATGTATTTATATTATGTTCTTAAGATCATTTTTATATCATAAAATTGTTGGTAACATTTGCTAAATTTCAATTCCATGGGACTCTGCGATCCTGTAATTTGAATCTATTCTGTAAGTTTTGCCATTTGAGTCATCCTGGTTAGAAAGATTTTGCCTTATGGTGAACTGTTTCACCCAGTTAAAGTTTACAAACACAAAAGTTTTAATAGTATATAAATAAATGATTATACTGCTCCCTCCCTTGGTTCAAGCAAGATATGTTTGTGTAGGATTACATTCCTGCTTGCTTATATAGGAATCAATCTCATTGATTCCAATGGATTTATCTCAGAATTTTACTAAGAGACTTTAAACCCATACGTACTCAAGATAAACTTCATTCAGAATAGTAAGATTTATTTCTGAATAGAGTTGTAGAGTTAATATTATGTTGAACATTGCAGTTACATTTTCATGTCCCATGAATAAGATCAACTTACTTGGCTTCTGCCACTCAGAACCAACCTCTACAGTTTGCTCAGCATGATCTCTCAACCTCATAAGGGATTAGAATTGAAAGCTACAGATGTTGAAGTAAGTTCGAATGGGAACTGTCAAAGATAGTACATTAACAGACAATTCAATCATTAAAATGCTTCAAAATGTTGCCTTATGATGTTTAAAGTAAGTCACTTTATATGGATTTAATGGTATGTGGGAATGTCCTTAGGAGATTGAGTGAAGTGATCCTGCCCAAGGAACAATCCTAAATTTCGACTGTAAAGGTGATGGCACGAGAATTGTACTTTCTGACTTGCAAGATTGATGTCAGCCTTATCAGATAGAGCAGACAGAAAATATGGCCAGATAAACTAATCCTACCTTATTTAAAGATACATTAACATTATCTTGCAAGTCTGAAATTACAATTCTCCCAACATCACCTTTACAGCAGAATAACTTAGGGTGGGTCTCTCTTGAGCCTGTTGCTCTATCCACTAGGCAGCTGTAGGCTATGCTCCCTCTTATCTGACCATTCCTTAGGCAGCATCTCTTCAGATCAATCCCACATACCACTACATAGGAAGATATGCAGAAGATATAATAAATGTAGACTAATTCATTACCTTTCCTACTTTGCATATTCTTACTGCATTTAAGTATCTTGTTGCGGTTCTATTACCATATGATAAATTAAGTGTGTTTCTGAATCAAATACTTTCTCAACTGTTTGGTGAGTTCTTAAATAGAGTTCTTTTTTGTATTAGTTTGAGAAATGTTCATTAATTTTTGTGTGTATTTCTGAAAGCAATTTTTATTTAATAGAACTGTTCATTTTAAGCACCAATATTTATATAAAAAGCTATAAACGCAAACTTTATATATACTAAAAGAACAGAAATAATGGTC